CAGTGTAACCCTGGACTGCTGAAAATTTCAACAGATTAAGCTGTTTAAAACACCTCGCAGCTCAGTTTATTCCTCAGGTAATCAACAAATCATGCCTTGTACTATTAACGGAAAATGTCTATACTGGATGTTGAGCTTAAAATTTGGGATTACTGCTGCTTTCTGCACTATTTATAAAGTTGCAAAACCTGTTTACTTTTTCTCTTGGAAAGGCCTTCTTTGTCAAGACTACCTAGTTTGAAGGTTTTTTGTTTGCATTTTTAAAAAAAAATCTCAAGGGCCAGCCAGATTGATTAAGCTCTAAATAGTTAAGCTGGGGGTGGGGAGCAGGCAAGAGTAGATAACATAATTCATACCTTACAGCACAGGCTAAAGTTAATTTCTAAATAGTTGATGTGAGAGAAAAAGGATTTTGTAGGTTAATATGATTACAAAGCATAATGTTTGCATGGCATTTATTTTTACTCTCTTTAAAAGGAATGCATATCATTTTTAATTTTTTTTGAAATTGTTTCTGGTTCATGCCACTCTACACAGCTGAATACAAAGAATTAGAATATTTTACAGCTACTTTTATTATAGAAGAGGCATTTAAGCCCAAAGAAGTAAAGTTACTTATCACCAAATTCACAGTAGCTCTTAGAATCCAGGTTCCAGACTCTGTCTCCTCCCTAAACTAATGATTTTTCAACTTTTCACCACTTATTTCAGAAGATTTTAATTAACATATTATGCTGATTAATAAATGCTATATAACTGCCAAAAAGAACCTCTGAGCTAATAAAACAAAGAAGCCTAGTGATATTCTGATTCTGACTTTTCAAAAAAACTTCCAGTCTGTGACATCAAGTAAAATCTGGCTGATACGGTTTACTTCTGTGTCCCCACCCAAATCTCATCTTGAATTGTACTCTCATAATTCTGTGTTGTGGGAGGGACTGGTGACGATTTCAATCATGGGGGCAGTTTCCCCCATACTGCTGTCATGGTAGTGTATAAGCCACACGAGATCTGATGGTTTTATCAGGGGTTTCTGCTTCTGCATCTTCCTCATTTTCTCTCGCCACCACCATGTAAGAACTGCCTTTTGCCTCCCGCCATGATTCTGAGGTCTTCTCAGTCATGTGGAACTGTAAGTCCAATTCAACCTCTTTTTTTTCCCAGTCTTGGGTATGACTTTATCGGCAGCAGGAAAACAGACTGAGACACTGGCCAAGGCCTGACTTGCCATCACACATGCTGTCAGGCTTGTGTGTAGGAACAAGTAGAGAAGAACTAAAGATTGTCATAACCTGCTACTGTAGTCATCCACTCTACTTCCCACAAATAACATGTCAATTTGTAATTCTGTGATTATAGAAAAGATTCTTAATCTTTAGATTAATTTCTTTCTATTAAATGAATCTTTTCAGAGGTCTGTTGTTTTCTGCTTGCTTGTTATTGGGGGTAGGAGGACAAAGTTATCCAAGCATTAAAATGACTTCTAAGAGGCACTGTGCGTAAGTTATCTCAACTAGTTTAGGCTCAGATAAGGCGCAGGCAGAAGAAATTAGATGCTGTAAATGTATTTGGCATATGAGTGGTCCAGATGTCTGTGGGCAGTAAGGAGGAAGCTGTGTGCAACAAAGAGAACTGCCACCTGACTCTAATACAGGTATCCCCTCCTGCTACCCTTCCACAGCCCCCATCCCCTAGCACTGAGCTTAGCACTGTTCTGCTGAACATCTTTCCTACTTATTATACAGCAGATCTGTCAGTGCCAGACCCATTATGCGCTAGACATTATTTCTAGTCGCAGGGGTTATATTAGTTTAAAAAAAAAAGAATTTCTAATATGCATGGAGCTATGAAAGGAACTTGGAAGGACTTTAAGCTAAGAAGTAGTAAAATTATCAAAATTGTATTTTTAAAAGTCTCATATTCTTTACATATTCTTGTATTGTTTCACTGGTCATCACAAGCATGTACCAGTTTTGTAATTTGAAAAATAACAAATAAAGAAAAGAACTGCTGGCAATGTAAAGGAGAGCTTGGAGGGCAGGCAAGACTGGCAGTTAGAGACTGGTTAAGGGACTGTTCCTATCAGCAACACAGGTGATTAGAGAAGAGGAATTGAAGACAGGTAACACTAAAGGGAAAAGGAGTAGTAAAGAGATTGAAAAGACAGTAATATCAATACGAGAAATTAATTGCAAGTCAGAGAAAAAAAGGTAAACAGGAGAACTTTCAAATATGGGGCTTAGGCAGACATTCGAGAGGTGTTTATAAACATATTTAAAAAAAAAAGCAGGATACAAAATTTTATTTATTTATTTGTTTGTTTGTTTGTTTGTTTTGAGACAAAGTCTTGCTCTGTCACCCAGGCTAGAGTGCAGTGGCGTGATCTTGGCTCACTGCAATCTACACCTCCCGGGTTTCAAGCAATTCCCCTGCCTCAGCCTCCTGAGTAGCTGGGACTACAGGTATGCACGCCAGCTAACTTTTTGTATTTTTAGTAGAGACGGAGTTTCACCATGTCAGCCAGGATGGTCTCCATCTCCTGACCTCGTGATCCGCCCACCTTGGCCTCCCAAAGTGCTGGGATTACAGGCATGAGCCACCGTGCCTGGCCCAAAATTGTATTTATTATATGAATACTGTATACATTACATGTCTCATAAATATATATGCATAGGAAATTCATCAACATGCTAACAGTGGCTGGCTCTGGATGGTAAGTCAATCAAGTTTTTAAATATTCTTTTCCACATGTGTACAACTATTAAATATCAATAAAAATACATATAAGGCCGGGCGCGGTGGCTCAAGCCTGTAATCCCAGCACTTTGGGAGGCCGAGACGGGCGGATCACGAGGTCAGGAGATCGAGACCATCCTGGCTAACACGGTGAAACCCCGTCTCTACTAAAAAATACAAAAAAACTAGCCGGGCGAGGTGGCGGGTGCCTGTAGTCCCAGCTACTCGGGAGGCTGAGGCAGGAGAATGGCGTGAACCCAGGAGGCGGAGCTTGCAGTGAGCCGAGATCGGGCCACTGCACTCCAGTATGGGCAAGAGTGCCAGACTCCGCCTCAAAAAAAAAAAAAAAAAAAAATACATATAAAAAAACTTTTCCCTATATCTTTGAAATTTATTAAGAATGTGTACTTTTGTGTACATTTTGTATATTTTTGAACCACATTCCTTCCAAAAAGCAGTTTCCCTTTGGTAATAAAACTCTATGATTGTAAAACTCCTATGAGAAAATCTGGTCAAATGGCAAACCATTCTATATTTCATAAACATATTACACTGTCCATAATTAATTCTTCTATCTTTGTAAACTCTCACTAACTATGCGTTTATAATGGTGAACCAATCACAGTAGTTGTGTATTTTCTTTTCTATTCAGGAAATTCACCAGCTGAGAGAGGTGACAGAATTGAAAGCAAATATCTTGTTGTTATTTGATTACCCAGTAATCACTGTAGTCACTTAACAACTGGATACCCCTACTTTGAGCCGTTTCCACAGATATCTGCATGACTGCCTCCCTCACTTCAAATGTCAGCTTCTCAATAAGGCCTATTAGGATTATCCTAATTATAAGAGCAACATGTCCTTATCATCACTACTACCATAGGCTTTCTGATATTCTTTTACTTGTTTCATTGTTTTCAATTCACTTATGATCTAATATATAATGTAACTTACTAATTCTATTTAGTGTATATCTCACCTCCTAGAATGTAAGCTCCTGAGGTCTAACTTGGATTTTTGTTATTCTTATTCCCAAACACATCCCCAACCCCAGAGCTATGCTTGGCAAATAGTAGATGCTCAAAGAAGTATTTGTTGAATTAATGCATGTATTAATGAATAAATCTATAAAAGAGTAAATGAAAAAAATTAAATGACTAGTTTTTAAAAAGTACATAATATTGTTTTACAAATAACCACCATTAATATTTTTTACTTTAGATATCACTAATTCCCTGCTTAAACATTTGTAAATACCAATTTAGCCTATGTGGTTCAGCAAAGTTCTCTCTTCATACATATCCCTGTTAAAAGTTTTCCTTTAGATTCAATAAACATGAGAATTACTTATACAAATCAAATAACTTCTCTAATATATAAAAATTTAAAACTATAAACTTTACCAATAATCATATAATACAGTTTTAACTTTTGCAATCAGAGCTTCCAAATCACCTCATTTAAAAATGTTCATTTACTACTGAAGACCACGGAGAAACTCTACAATTTTTCATCTAACCACATGAGAGGTTGATTTTTTTTTTTTAATCCTTAATAGTGAACCATAACAAGGGAAAAGGAACAAGAAGGCAAGGGCAAACATTTAGTTTACTCCAAGTTAAAGAGCAATTTAAACTACTTTCAGTTTGCTATGCCTCATGGCTATAGCACCATCTACTGTTTACTATGCATAAATGCTATGAGGGCTGCTAGGACAAGAGTCCTTTGTCACTTCATTTTCAAAAAATGTTCACCCACATGGAGGCAATCATGTAAGTGTATGTCTAATTTGATAACAATCACATGTCCAATATGGAAATGTAGAAGTGAAAACTGAGAAACCTTTGTGGTATTAGAAAAATAAACCATTTACATAACTCTGAAACAATAATACTCTTTAAGAAAAAAAGGACAAAAGCAAAACACAAATTATTAAAAGGGAAAAAATTAAGAGATATTTTAGAACCTTGTTAATGGAATATTTCAAAATGCAAAATTCTATAAAAAGTAAACTATCACATAAAACAATGAGTTTATATTTGAATATCTAAGATATCCACTTTTAAGAATTCTATATAGCCTTAGCCCTTTTTCCCTACAGACAGCATTACAAGGCCTCAGTAAATTAACAACTCCCAGTTAATTACATACATTTTAGTATACTAAAGCATGACTATTTTAGCTTATTCAGTAGTCTGTAACAGGTAAATTTCTTTAGTGGCCAATGCCACCGTCCCTACATTTACAATGCTAACATTACTTACACCAATATAGGTTTTCCCGATATCCTAGGATGTCTTAGCATTTCTGACATAGCCTCTTTTGTCTCTTCCATTCTCTCTTCATCACTGGAATCCACAACAAATATTACCCCATAGGATTCAGCATAGTAATTCTTCCAGATTCCCCGAATTCTTATTCCACCTCCCAAGTCAAAGATGGTGACTTCAAACTTTCCTTGTCTAAGGTTAATTTTTGAAAATCCAACAGTAGGAGCTACATCTTCAGGGTATTCTGTTTCAAATGATACAAAAAAAAAAAAAAAAAGAAAGAAAATCTTTAGACTTTAATTGATAACATTAATTTTTCAACTAAAATTTTAGCACCAAGTGAAGTATTTAGCATTCACTGACAGAATAAACATTATATGGAAGCATACTGGTCTGGGGACAGGCCAGAATATCAAACTAGAAATTTTACTCCATGCAGATAGGAATCTTTCTTTCTCCTGATATAAAACCCGCACTTAGCATATAGTAGGTACTTAATAAGTAGCTGCTGAATTAATAAATGAGTAAACTGTCTTGCCTTTAAGGTTATTTACTATCCAAGTTACAAACAATAAAAATGTCAACCTTTCAATACCACAGCTATCCCTAGGGGCTGTTAAAACATCTGTGGAGTTATAAAGAAAACCATGAACACTTAGAGAATAGAAGAGTTTAGAAGAATCAAAGAATGAGAGAAGCTATAAAAATAAGATCGCTGTTTTTTAATTAGCTGAATTAAAGCTATATTTGCAATAAAGAGACGTTTAAGGGCAGCTTACAACAAAAAGTAGATTTCATTCTTTCTATAGGAACATATTTTGGAAAACATAAAGAAGATACAGGATGTATATGAACTGTCAAGGAGTGATAATGACAATAAGAGATTTAAAAGATACCTGAGGATCTTAAAAGACATCATAGGAGAGACAGAATTTAGGCCTTAAACCTGTGTAGGATTTAAACAGGCAGAAGAGGAAGGGAAATGACAAAGTAAAGGAATAAGAACAAATTGAACATTGTGCCTGCAGCAAATCCTTAAGATTAGGAATGCAAACAGAAGAGGGTTCTGAAGATAGAGAACAAGGAGCTATTGAAAATATCTGGCAGACCAATGATATAATCAAGGTGACTGAAATAGTGCTTTATTAAGATTAATCTTGCAAAAGTCTCTAGACTGACTGGAAGTGATAGTAATAGCCTCTTTTCAGAGAGGCATGAAAATAAAGGAATAGAAAAGAGAACTCATGAAAGATTAATGGCCTGCTGACTCATGGCTATAGAGAAGAGTTCAAACTTCATATTTTTTTCTTCTATTTTTTCTTCATCACTGGAATCCACTATAAATATTATCCCACAGAAAACACTGTTCAGAGCTGCATGGTCAAAACAATAGCCACAAGCCACATGAGACTTTTTAAATTTAAATTTAAATAAACTAAAATAAAATTAAAAATTCAGTTTCTCAGTTGCATCAGTTACATTTTAAGTGTTCAAACGCCATATGTGGTGGCTGGATACAGTGGCTTAGGCCTGAATCTCAGCACTTTGGCAGGCTGAGGCAGAAGGATCACCTGGGGCCAGGAATTTGAGACCAGTCTGGGTAATATCTAGAGTTTTTTTTAAAAAAAAAAAAGCCACATGTGGCTAGTGGTCCATCCTACTGGACAGAGCCAACATAGAACATTTCCATCACTGCAGAAAGTTCTACTGAACAACACTGGTGTTTACAGGGTCTTATTTCCACATTTAGCAAAACATGTGCTATTACAAAGATTAATTTGAAAGGCATTCGCTAAACTTAGGTGTGACTGAGAAACAGACTTGCAAGACACCAATCTCTTGGTAAGCGCCTTAGTGAAGTTTACACAGCACCTGAAGAAAGTTAAAAGCCACTACAAGTCATACTTTTGCTAATACTTTCATTACCTAGAAAAAGGTAAAGTTAGACATATAAGCAGCATGATTTTCCAGAAACAGGATTACACTAGGCATTTAAAAATGTGATCTAAGCCTAACCAGAACTAGTTTGTGTGGATAAAATAGGCAGCTGTCTTTCAGTATGAATAGAGAGGAACCCCAGGCAATCATCCGTGAAAACAAATCAACTATGCTGAAGTAGGAATAAGGGAACTAACAAGTATCAAACATCTCCTCGGTACCAGGACTTTGTTAGGCATCAAGGGTGCAAAGAGGTATATGATTGCTTTCCTCAAAGTACAATGTAATATAGAGAAGCGGAATATTAATAGGAATAACACAGAATTTGTACGTTCTTAAAGAAAAAAAAAAACCTAGAGATGATAGCATGTAGGAATTCAAGGGAAAGAAGTTGAAAAAGGGAGGGGCAAGTTATGGTCTAGAAAGGCTTTCAGAGAAGTAATGAAATCTTGAAGACTTCATTGTGAGTGAACACATAAAAGCTACATAATTGTAACGGAGAAGGGAGAACTATATTTTAGGCAGAGGGAGCAATTCAAGTACAGATAAAATGATGGCAATATGCCCAGTAAACCAATTCAGATTAAGGAATTTTTGCAAGGTTATATTGTAGGCAGAGACAGGCCTCAGAGGTCTTCAGGACTCCCAAAGCCTGTTTTTTTTTTTTTTTGATATGTGGAACACCTTCTATCCTTTCCTCTGGTTCCTACTCAGCATTTGTGTTTCACAACTTAAGACTAAATGTTCAGGTACAACTTTCCCCATAAATCCCTTTCCGATGATTCTTCCTACTTCTACTGTCACCTTTATCTCTATCATAATAATCTGTCCTCTGCTGATCGTCACAATAGCCTATACCTTCCGAACACATGGGACCATGTCTTTGTATCCTTAGCATTCAGCACAAAGTATATAGGGCTCAATACTACACAACCAAACCACTGAGATAACTGAAGCTGCTGTCCCATACATCCATCCTTTCTTTTGCCCTTCCATATATTTATCCATCTATCCTTGTACATGTATTTAGGGCCCATTATAGATGAGAAATCATACAAGAACCAGGAACAAAAAGACGCATGGTCCTCAATTCTGAGAATTTCAGTAAAGTACATGTGGTAAGACACCATCTCTAGAAAGTCCAAGATAAAATGCAAATATATAATCAATCAATTTTTGAGCATTTCTTATAAGCTAAGTACTATGTATGGTTTTAGAAATACAAAGATTAATAAAATACATCTTCTGATCTCACAGAGCTCTTAGTCTATTGAGGAAATACACACACACACACACACACACACACACACACAACTACATATGAAACATATATATATATATATATATATATATAATTTTTTTGTTTTTTTCTCTTCACAAATCACAAATAACTACAATATAATGAAGACAAGGTAATATCCAAAAATGCTAGGGACCAATCTAAACAAATAATTTTTGCACCAAAAATAACAATAGTTCCCTATTAGGAAACACTATTTGATAGTCAAGAGAATCCTAGATTTTTTTTACCTAGGCTCATGACTGCTTACAAGACTATAATCCCCAACTACTATGGCAGCCAGGGGTGGCCATGAGAGGAGGCTAGCTAGCGATATGTTGTTAAACATTTGGAGGAGGAGAACCCTGATACATGTATGGTATCTGCCAATTTCCAAAGTATAAATACTTCGACCACGGCCGATTTCAAACTCACAATATGAGGTACCTGAACACAGAGCTGGGAAGAGATACGCATAAAGGGATCTCGCTAGTTCAAATGAGCCAATATGAACAGCAGGTCAGGAACCCCACTGCTTCTTTTCAATGACGTGAACCAAAATGATGCAGCAGCTTCTGGTTCAGCTCCTAAAGGAAAGGAGGATGGCCTCCCCTTACCCTTTACCTCTTCTTTGTAGCTGAAATGCACATTTTGTAGTGAACTACCTTCAACCATGTAGGTGAGGGAGAACACTGAGGATGGCAAAGCAAATAGAACAGAGCACTGAGTACTAACACAATGGAGCTGACAAACCTATCCTAGACTATTTTTGCCTAGGCTGTTATGAGAAAGAAATAAACATCTATCTTGTTGAACCACTGTTATTTTAGGTCTCTGTGAGAACAACTGAACCTGTGTCCAACTAATGCAATTACTGACAACCATGAAGAAGAGAAGTTTGATCTAAAAAAGTAAAGTTCCAGAAAGGGGTATTACTTTTATATTAAGAAGTTATAGAGAAACAAAATAGAAAGAATGAAACCTAGTATTTGAAAGCACAACAGGGGGACTACAGTCAATAATTTAATTGAACATTTAAAAACAACTAAAAGAGTAACACAAAGAATAAATGCTTCAGGGGATACCCAATTTTTCATGATGAAATTATTATGTATTGCATGCCTATACAAAAATCTCATGTACCTCGTAATATACACATATATTACGAGTACGTAATGTACTCACAAAATTAAAAATAAAAAAGGAAAAAAAAAGCTATTGTGAATAAAAAAATTAGCTAGGCATTGTGGAGCACACCTGTGGTCTAGCTACTCTGGAGGCTGAGGCAGGAGACAGCTTGAGCCCAGGAGTTTGAGATTACATGAGCTATGATCATGCCACTGAACTCCAGCCTGGATGACAAAATGATACCCTGTCTCTAAAAAAACAAAAAAATATGGACCAGGCTCAATGGCTCATGCCTACTATCCCAACGCTTTGGGAGGCCAAGGCAGGAGGATCACTCAAGGCCAGGAGTTCAAGACCATCCTGGGCAACATAGTGAGACTCATCTCTACAAAAAATTTTTTTAAAATAAAAAATAAATAAATAAATAGAATATGGATTTTTAAAAAAGCTATTGTAGACACTACAGATAAAAGAAACTGAGGGTTTGGATTTAGCCAATGGCAACACAGTCAGAGAGGAGGCAGACACATCTGAAAAGAAACTAGCAGACAGTTTTTTCTCAATTTCGCACAGAAACAACAACAACAAAAAAGAAGGTTGAGAAGAATCAGAAATAAGTAGAAAAGTAGGAGCCACGGGAGAGATGTTTTAAGAAGACCTAGGCGCTTGGTCTAAACAATTAGGACACCAAAATGAGCAAAATGCCTTTAGAGAATTTACAGCCTGAAGAAGTAGAGAGATACACAAACAAAAGGCAATTAAGTAGTGACCAAGTAGGTATCAGTAAGAGGAGGCCAAAAAAGCGGACATGGTCAGTTCTGCTAATCAAGGTAGTAACGGTTGGGGTAGTTGGGGATTAAAAACGACTTTATAAAAGAGGGGATTACATGACAAAAATACATCTTTAAAGATCAGTAGATATTCTCTCTAGTTAAAGAAGTGAGAACAACATAAAAATATAAAGGAAAGAGAAGGCTTAAATCTGGGAAGTTTCAAGTAGTTCTATGAAATTAGAGTCCTAAAAAAAACTTCAAAGTAAGAAACTGAAGAGTAAATATGGGATGAAGGACAAAAAGAGAATGAAGGGTGGGGCTCAAAGTTGAAGGCAGTTTTGACATTAAGCATTTTCTAGACTCAGAAAAAGGAACTTATGAATATATGGAGGTGGAATACATAAGAGAAAGGAAAGAGGATGTTCTAAGCACGCCCAGTATACATAACAAATTAGGTAATCTGATTAGCACATTCTAAGATGCCTGCTCCCATGAATGTCAGGCTTTAGAGGAAAGGATAAAAGAAGGTTAGAAGAAAGTGTCACGGCCTCCAGGTCAAAACTGGTTTTCCACTTGTTTTCGTACGGCCCACAAGCTAAGAATGTGTTTTACATTTTAACTGACTAAAATAAAAGAAAAACATTTCATAACACAGGAAAATTATATTAAATTCAAATTTCAGTGCCGTAAATAAACTTTCAATGGAGCTTAGCCACGCTCATTTGTATACGGATTGTCTTTTTTTCCCTTTTTTTTTTTTGAGACGGAGTCTCACTCCGTTGCCCAGGCTGGAGTGCAGTGGCGCGATCCCGGCTCACTCAACCTCCATCTCCCAGGTTCAAGCAATTTTCCTGCTTCAGCCTCAGGAGCAGCTAGGATTACAGGTGTGTGCCACCACACCGAGTTAATTTTGGTATTTTTAGTAGAGATGGGGTTTCGCCATGTTGGCCAGGCTAGTCTTGAACCTCTGTCCTCAGGTGATCCGCCTGCCTCGGCCTCCCAAAATGCTGGGATTATTACAGGTGTGAGCCACCGTGCCCAGCCTGTATACAGATTGTCTATGGCTGCTTTCACACTACGGTGTAAAAGTTTTGTAGTTCAGAAGGAAACTGGATGACTGCAAGGTCTAAAATATTTACTATTCAGCTCTTCACAGAAAAAGTTTGCTGACCACTGGTTTAAATGATGGTGAGTGTCCTGTGAAGATATAACATAGAAGATAGCATAGGCATAGGCTTTAGAAAAATTCATAGACAATAACAGATGATTTACTTCTAATTTACTTAACATTACAGAGTAGCATTTGAGGTGAGAAAATGTTTTTCGCCAAGAGTGAGTTTTGCAACCTGTTAATAAATAAATGCCCTTCCACTATTTAGTAAGCACGATGTCTTACTGCAATCATCAGTTTCCAGAAACAAATACACGTTATGCATTTCTCCCAATTCTTACCCTTTAGATCAGTGGCACCAGGGACCAGTTTTGTGGAAGACAATCTTTCCATGGACTGGAGGGTGGAGGTGGTTTCAGGATGATTCAAGCACATTACATTTATTGTGCACTTTATTTCTATTATTATTACATTGTAATACATACTGAAATAATTATACAACTCACCATAATGTACAATCAGTAGGAGCCCTAAGCTTGTTTTCCTGCAACTAGACAGTCCCAGCTGGGGGGTGATGGGAGGCAGTGACAGATCATTAGGCATTGGATTCTCATAAGGAGCACGTAAACTAGATCTCTTGAATGCGCAGTTCACATAGGGTTCATGGTCCTCAGAATCTAATGCCACCACTGATCTGACAGGTGGCAGCACTCGGGCAGTAATGTGAGTGATGGGCAGAGGCTGTAAATACAGACGAAGCTTTGTTCACTGGCCTGCCGCTTACCTCCTGCTTTGTAGGCTGGTTCCTAACAGCCCACAGACAGATATTGGTCCATGGCCCCGGGGTTAGGGACTCACGTTAGATGCCTGACTGGTGATACATTCTAGGTGCCCAACAAAGTCACTAGCATAGATACTGCTATATTGTAGCACAAAGCATTAAATTAAGATTACCTGGCCGGGCTGGGCGTGGTGGCTCATGCCTGTAATCCCAGCACTCTTGGAGGCCAAGGCAGAAGAATAGCTTGAGGCTAGGCATTCCAAACCAGCTTGGGCAACATAGGGAGACCCCATCTCTACCAAAAAAAAAACCTAATAAATTAAAAATTTAAAAAAAAAGACTAGCCAGCATTCAATGAGATACACTCAATGAGATGTAGTATGTATGATATATATTCAATATTCAATGAGATGCAGTATCTATGATATAAAGCCATTTAATGATATAGAGGCCTTATCTATAACTTAATTATAAAAATTACTTATCATATTGAAAAAAAGCATCAAGAGATTCAAAGAGAACTGTGCTGCCTAACTATACTTCTACCTCTCTTTCATATAAGCACAGGCATGTGACTAACTTCTAGCCAGGAAAATGTAAGTAGAAGATAGGTATCCTTAAAAGCAGGGCAGCTCATCTTCTTGAATTTTCCTTCCTATTGTCTAGAATACAAACACTATTCCCTCTTAGCAGATCAAAGGCATCAAGGAGTCTCTGCATCTCTGCATGTATTCAAATCTGAAACATGGTAATAGTCTGGTCCCATTAATCCAGAGCCTACTTGCCATGAGTCACCAGTATACTAAGAATATAAAGTAATGGAGTGCACAGTATCTGTACCAAATTAATAAGGAATAAAGCAACTTAACATAAATAAATAATTCAGAATAATTTAATAGAGTTCAGAAAGCACATAAATATTTTCAGCTTACCTCCTTGGATTCCCTTTGCTGTTGCGGTTTTACCAGCATTATCAAGTCCCACCATCAAAAGAGTCACCTTTCTTAAAATAATAGAAATTTAAAAATCACTTTCTTTGTTAATTTAGTATTGAGGAAAAATAAATGCAAATTCATTAATTCAATTAACATTTAAGGAGCACCTATTAAGCACAAGAAAATCTGTTGGATGCTAGGGAGTACAATAATGAATAAAATATAGATTCACAAGCAAATTCATGAAAAATACCTTTAAAGGATCATCCTTTTGTTCTCTAAGCAAATAAAGTAAAACTGTACAATAGATAATCCAAAGGACAGAGAATAAGGGAAAGAAGGAAGATAGGAAGGTGGGGAGACAATCTCTGAGTTATCTATCATGGCTAAAGAATCAACTTCCTAGTTTATTGAAAGCTGACAAATTATCACAAATCTGTTTATCTTATGAAAGTACATAACTGTTTTTAAATATGTAGCATCTTACCAAATATAAATTTATATATAATAACATGATTATGAAGTGCTAACATTTTGAGAGAAGGTTACTACAATTGTAAAGTTTAAAATATTTCTCATGATACAGCTAAACTCCACAGGAAAAAAACAAAAAACAAAAAAACACCCAGTTCAACTTAAAAACTGAAGAAACATAAGTCCAGATAAATTAAGTAATCTGGTCAAAGGTCACACAATGAATCAGTTACAGACTCAGAACCAGAACCCAATTCACCTAATTCGTAGGGACTTATATGTGGGACAGGTATAAAGGAGCAAACCTATTATACTGGTCCTAGTCCTATTAACTTGGTGATTCCGTTTACCACTATATAGTCATTTCTGTTCTAGGTTGAACTTTGCACAATATAAGAGGTGAGGCAGTTCATTACCACCATGGATTTGGAAATGAAAACTGCCTTGGGAATACACAGAAAAAAAGCCACAGCTTAACACAGCTGCCATATTTAAACCATAGGGTATGATCAATCTCCTATGGAGTATAGTTCTTCTTTAGCAATCATCCCACGGAGGGTTGAAAACAGAATTCAGATGGCTGTAAAGGGTGTCCTTTCATTTCTCTAGGCTTTGCTCTCTTGGATTTAGACTTGTGGAAAAAAAAAAAAAATCAGGTGTACTCGAAGGGGCCATATAACAAAGACAGAAGACAGAGGTGAGAGTATGAGGCAGGCTAGTTATGGGTCACAAGCTGAGAAACAACAAACTTAGTCTGGCAAAAGCCAAATTGATAATTTATTAAATAAATAATCACTGACCATCTTCTATATACCAGACACCAGTGTTCTAGGTATTTGAGATACACTTGTTTATTACAGCAACCACCACCATAATAAAACAAAAACAGATAAAGAAATTCTTCCTTGTTAAGCTTACATTTTAGTGACAAAAGACAGCCAGTAATAATACGATAAATAATAAAGTGTAGAAGGTGATTAAGTACTATGGGAAAAAAAATAGAGTAGAACAGGGCTGGGGGTGGGAGGAGGAGGCAGGTTTACATAGGGCGGTCAAGGCAGACCTCATTCAGAAGGTAAAAATCTGAGCAAGGACTTGAAGGATGGAGTCATGCATATATTCGGGGCAAGAGAGAATCGCTGGTGCAAAGACCCTTAGGTACAGAAATGCAGGAAGGTCCAAGAATCGGCAAGGAAGCCACTGTGATGAAACCAAGTGAGAAAGGAGCAGAATAGGAAGACAGGAAGTCAGAGACACATCAGAGACCAGTTCACGTAAGCCTATATGCCATTGTGAGGATTCTGACTTCTACTATGAGTAAAATGAATTCCATATTAATTTCCTTTGTTATCTAGGAGCTTTTATCTTCTCTAGATGTTTCAACCATCCCATACCTAGCATGGGAAATAAACAGAAGCTGTGTCTATACTTGACTCAGTGCGAGAATAAGGTAAATCACAATAAGCAGCACTCCAGGGCCCTATTCTCAATTGGCTGGTGGCAAAGCCAGTGGGAATGCCACAAAGACCCACAGCAGATTATAGATTTATGGAGAAGAGGTAGTAGGCAAGGTCCAGGAACCTCTATCCATCTGGAAATGTACCTGCATTATCAACTATGAAAAATATGAATTTACTTCCTAAGGAAGCTGTAAGATATTAAGAATATAATTTTATTATTTTGTTTGAATTCATAATTATGAATTAAATAACTCATAGAACTATCAAATATCAAAGAACAAGATTTAAGTACAAAATAACTTCCAAAACCAAATATAGTAAATGACTATTCAGAGAAGATGGATAACATAGCATTTAAAATGAGTAGCTTAGCAAAGCATGGAGGCATATTTCTGTAGTCTCAGCCACTCCAGAGGCTGAGGCAGGAGGACTCCCTGAGCCTGGCAGGTCAAGGCTGTAGTGAGCCATGATTGTGTCACTGTACTGAAGCCTGGGCAACAGAGCAAGACCCTGTCTCAAAAATAAAACAGGCCAGGTGTGGTGGCTCATTCCTATAATCCCAGCACTATGGGAGGCTAAGGTGGGCAGATCACTTTGAGTTCAGGAGTTCGAGACCAGCCTGAGCAACATGGCGAAGCCCCATCTCTACTAAAAACACAAAGATTAGCTGGGCATGGTGGCACACACCTGTAATCCCAGCTACTCAGAAGGCTGAGGCTGGAGAATCGCTTGAACACAGAAGGCAGAGGTTGCAATGAGCCGAGATCACGCCCCTGCACTCCAGTCTAGGCAACAGAGCAAGACTGCACCTCAAAAATAAAATAAAATAATAAAATGAAATAAAACAAGCCAGGTCAGGCCTGTAGGTTCATTCCTGTAATCTCAGCACTTTGGGAGGCTGAGGAGGGCAGATTACTTGAGCTCAAGAGTTCAAGACCAGCCTGGACAACACGGCGAAATCCCATCACTACAAAAAAAAAAAAAAAAAAAAAAAAAAAAAACCACAAAAATTAGCCAGGCTGGCAGTACATGCCTGTAGTCCCAGCTACCTGGGAAGCTAAGCTGCGAGAATTGCTTAAACCCGGGAGGCAGGGGTTGCAGTGAGACGAGATCGTACCACTTGTACTCCAGCCTGGGCAACAGAGTGAGATGCTGTCTCAAAAAATAAAATAAATAAAATTAAAATTAAATGATAAAATAAATATTTTAGATAATTCAAGTTACTAGAGATACAATGAATTGGACTAAAGTAACGCTAATATTAAAGCTAACTCAATTGTTCTTTATGTATACAATGCATTTCAAGATCTACAGTGCTTTAAACATTGCCATGAACCAAAGCAATTACTTTTGGGGAATAAATCCCTGTTTTCTACTAGTTTACATCATTTATTCCATAAATATTAAGCACCCCTTACATAGCAGCAAACAAATATCCACAATTATTAGGCCTCATAAACCTCAGAGCCTAGAAAGAAAAAAGGCACTGGAGAGGTAATTACAGTAACATGAGATAACTGTTATAAATTAGGAGAAGCAGTGGGCAGTCATAAGGATAGACAGCAGACCACAGAGTCCACTCTGGAAGTCAGAGAAGACAATACCACAAATAAACAAATAAGCATCAAATGAGTTGGCAGTTCCTGGAAACATCACGAAATCTTTTCACATCCCTTACAAGTCAAAGTAAAAATTCCCTGATACACCAATCCATGAAAAATAACTCCTTGTTCTCCATTACATAGAGCATCTCACGTTTTTCTCCATTCTTGTCAAGATTTCAGTTTTTTAAAAAAACAAACATCTAAATACATATATACTGTGCATTTTGAAACACTGTTCCTAAGGCCACCAAGAAAATCAGCTTTTACCTTAAGAGTCTGTCTTTATTTATAGGCTATTAGGCTCAAACAAACAAAAATGTCCTTCAAAGAAGGACTTATAATAGTGTTGAGACTGGCATAAAATAATTCTATTTCTATTTTCACTTTGACTACCTTTGCAACTAGTTAATTTTTAAGATTATGCCCTATTCCTGGAAAAGGCTTTAATTAAATGTTTTAGGGAATTAAAGCATTACTGAATAGACATAACTAATAAGCAGTACAAATAAAAATCACAGCATGAATTACTGCAAAGCCTGATAACGAAGGATTAAATTTATACTTTCAGGACAGAATGTGATTAAAAGGTTAACATTCACCTAAAACTCAGGCTTCTATAAAGAGGTATAATTTATTTAACCTATGTTAAAATGTACACGTAGCTACAGCTTTTTAAAACATGATAAATTGGACGGGCACGGTGGCTCACACCTGTAGTCCCAGCACTCTGGGAGGCCAAAGCAGGAGGATCACTTAAGCCCAAGACCAGCTTGGGCAACATAATGAGACTGTGTCCCTACAACAAGCTTTTTAAAAAATTAGCGGGGAATGGTGATGTGTGCCTACAGTCCTGGCTACTTGGAAGGCTGAGGTGGGAGGATCACTTGAGCCCACTGAAGTTGCAGTGAGCCATGACTGCACCACTGCATTGAAGCGTGGGCAACAGAATGAGACCCTGTCATTCATTCATTAATTCATTCATACATGCATGCATACATACATATAAAAATATGGTAAATTATTATTGGGAACAGTTTGGCTGTGGTGCTGTATGACAACAGAAAGATGAAAGATTGCCAATATCTCTTAGTCTGATGATTATCTGATCAAATACATTAGCCCTTCAAATTGAAAAAATAATATACAGTGCTCTTAGGTTTACAGTGTCTACAAAAGTTGACACTAGCAATAAAATCAATCATTTAATCATTTGGTCAGATGGTAATACAATTAAAGCACATTAAGCATTGTGGATACAAAAATGCCTCAGACATCATTTCTGTCCTGAAGTGCTCAACCTCTAGTGAGAGTGACTAAAACATAAATACAAATACATTCTGACACTACGAAAGTTTAACATCTTTAGCTATATATGTAAGATGATAAAGGAATACACAACAAGGGGACTTTATCCAGCCCAAAGTTAGGGCAGAAGGTCAGAGAAGCTTCTTAAGGTAATGCCTAACCTAAGTTCTTAAAGTGAGAAGTTAGCCAAGCAAGGAAAAGGTGAAAACAGAAGGAAGCTGAAGG